CTGCCTTTCATGAACCCATGCTGGCTGGGTTCTTCAAAGCTTGACTCAGAGAACAAAAATGTTTCTTGGGAAAGTTGGGGGGCTATGCCATATTCAGTCTTCACTAACAGGAACACCACTTCCTTACTTCTGCACCAAAAAAACAAAAGATAGAAAACAGAGCACAACAGAGGGACAAGGGAAAACCCTGAAGTTACCTGGTGACGCATTGGATCCTGCTGTATCCCCATCATTCGCTGCTGAAAAGGATCCATATTTGGGAGTTGAGGAAATACTGGCTGTTGTATACCTTCTCCTGGAAATCCACTAAAACCAGTAATATTTTGGTCAGACAAGTCAGTAGATACACAGATTTTTTGCCTTTATTTTACCTATTTCTTTTTATATTTACACATTCTTGCTTCAAATTTAGACAGAAAAGTTATCTTTGTTATGATCCTACTTCCTCTCTAAAAAGTGAAAACAAAAAAAGGAGAAAGAGCAGCTTCCTTATCTTTTCTCCACTGTAAGAGTAGTCCTTTAACATTTAAAGAAATGCTACATAAAGGTTTAAGCCTCTCTTCCCCCCATACTTAATGATCTTGCAAAAGATCTCAGTCTATGGAATTTTTCACAAAGGTTGCCTTAGGCTAACTTTCTTCCTTTGCAGTTCCTCTTTGGGGAACAAAAGAAGTAAGCCTTTTCCTCAAGGAAAATAAATTTGCCATACTTTTGCTGGAAAAAAACCCTTTAGTTTGGAAGGAATTGTAGGGCAGAGGAGAAAGGGATATGTGTATCACACAAGGATTACAGTAATGCCATTCACTTCCTGATTCAACACACAGAATGGACAGTGCTCAGGGAATTAATGAGTCTGTGGAGTTATTAGGACCTGTTTATGGGATGCAGTTTGTGTAAGAAACTGAACAGGATTTCAGGAAGATAAAGGAATTTCACAGTGATGTGCAATGGAACTTTGCAGTATTTTAAGACACAGGTGCCATACAATTCTTACATGATCAGTTTTTCATATAGAGTATTACTGACTTTGAGTGCCCAAAATGAGACTACTGGAATCCAATCTTCAGAAGCATCTCACACAGCTATAATGTAATAAGGACAGAGGATTTGAATTGCTATAAAGAGTACATAACCATGCTGAGAAGCCTAGTCCAATGATCTCTAGTTGGGCTTATACAAGCAGTGTATGTTTGACCTATCTCATCTGTCTGTACTCCAGAGTTCCATCCGTATTATAGGGAAAATACTACCAATTTACTTAAAAGGCATTTTAGTTAACGCATACTTGTGGAACATTAAAGTGCTCAAGGTGATAAACACAGTAAGAAAGCTAATGACAAAGTTAGTAATTCTGTTTTTGAGAGCAGGGTTTGGATGGCATATACAGAAAGTAAGACATGGGGCCACATACTGAAGCAGGGAAAAAAGAAATATTGACTAACCCAGGTATTGAGCACCATCCAGCCTGTGCACTGAATGAGAGAGAGGTCCTGTGGAAAAAACTAGTATGTGGTAATGTAATTTAAGACTTTATCATAATGCATATCAACGGGAATAGGAGTCTGAGTTAGTTTGTGTGGGTACCTAATGTTTGAAAATCTAAAGCTGCAAGGGCAATTTTAATTTTTTAAAATAGTTAAAACTACCACAATATTTGGAATAGCACCTCTTCCCCAGCCAGCAAAGCAATCCAGTTGATTACGAAAAATGCCCTGACACACTCACTTGTGCAAGAAAAACATGGAGCTCATTTTGAAAGGAAAACCATGTTTTTCTCTACAGAACACTTTCCTCAGTCAATGATGCAACATGCCAAACCTACACCAGTTCACCAAAGTAAAAAGACCAAAAAAAAAAGCCCAACAGAAGTTGTTAACAATGTCTTAACTTTGGACTAGAACAGTTGAGTACTCAGGTAAGTTGGAATTTTAATCCGTTTTCTAACCTAAAGATTTTTTTAGAACAAAGATTTGTTAATTTTATTATGACACAAAACTTACAAAGCTGGCTGAGAAACTGAAGGAGAAGGACCTGAATCTTCTTTCTTTGAATCTTCCACTGCTTCCGGTTCATCATCATAGTCAAACCGATCTAGCAGCTTCTGAAAGAAATCACATTGAGACAACAATTTTTTCTGTATCTTATATAATTGGCAGCCAAAATATCCTTATTATTGAACTCTGACTATTTATCTAACAGCTCTGGAATTAAAGATAAGGTTAGA